CGCAATCGGACGAATAACGTGGGTGAACACGTGGACCACCCTGTGCTGGCAGTAGGGAGGGTTAACGGCCATAAAATAAAAATATTTGTTGACGGTGGGGCTAGTCACAGCCTCATCAACCTGTCAACAGCCAAAAAAATTGGAGTCAAGCTGGACAGATGTCTGCCGGAGATTGACGCACGGCTAGTGGACAAAACACCGCTGGCGATCCGAGATGAAGCGCGACAAGTTCGGATGAAATGTGGCGACAATTTCGGGTTCGGCATGAAGATGTTGGCGACAACATTGGACGGCTGCGATGTGCTGCTGGGACGAGACTGGCTGCAACGATTCAATCCAACGATCGACTGGACAACGGGGGCATGCACTGTGCGAGGAAATACAGGGCACACAACACTTCCGACATGGACGGACCCGGAGCCTGTGACAACACGTGTCAACGCCGTCACCATGCGGCGAGCGATCAACAAGGGGGCCAGAGGCTACGCTGTACACTTGTACGAGGTAGCAGCCACCGAAAAAATCGCCGACATCGACAAGCTCTGCGAGGCAGTCCCTGCGGAACTGGCAGGCATCATCAGGAAGTATCCCGAAATTTTCGCGGATGACCTACCCGATGGCTTGCCACCTCAGCGACCAGAAGATCACAAGATACAGCTGGAACCCGGCGCGCAACCCACTGTTCGAACACAGTGGCGACTCAGCCAACCGGAGCTCGACGGGTTGAGGAGCCAGCTGGATTACCTCCTCGCCAAGGGATTTATCCGGCCAAGCACGTCACCATTCGCAGCGCCAATACTGTTCACGCCGAAGAAGGACGGAGGCCTACGCATGTGTATTGATTACCGGGCGCTGAATCGGGTCACGATAAAGTCGCGTTACCCGATCCCGCGAGCGGACGACCTGCTGGACCAACTTCGCGGGTCTCGCTATTTCTCGAAAATCGACCTGCGAGGAGGCTACCACCAAATTCGCGTGTTCGCCGACGACTGCACGAAAACCGCCTTTCGCACATGCTACGGAAGTTACGAGTACACCGTGATGCCATTCGGATTGACAAACGCGCCCTCGACGTTTCAGCTGACCATGAACGGGGTGTTCCGGGACATGCTGGATAAAAAAGTTATCGTCTACCTCGACGACATCCTGGTGTACAGCAAGACGCAAGAACAACATTTCGAGGATCTGGAGGAGGTGTTCCGGCGCTTACAGCAAAATCGGCTCATTACGAAGGGCTCTAAGTGCGAGTTCCTAAAGCCGGAGCTGGAGTTCCTGGGGCACGTGGTTTCGGGAGAAGGCATTAAAATTGACCCTCGCAAGGTGGACGCAATCGCTAAGTGGGAACCACCGACCAACATCACTTAGCTGCAGAGTTTCTTGGGCTTCGTGAATTACGTCCGCCGTTTTGTACCCAATATGGCGGGGGTGACCACACCCCTAACCGACCTCCTGCACAAGACAACCATTTTCCAGTGGGGGGAGAGAGAACAGTTGGCTTTCAACGACCTCAAAAACATTTTGAGTTCACCCCCTGTCCTCCGCCTCGCCGACCCATCTCGACCGTTCGAAGTCATCACGGACGCCAGTGATTTCGCCATCGGCGCCGTCCTTCTACAGGATTTCGGCAAAGGACTGCAACCCATTGCGTACGAGTCACGCAAAATGCAGCCACCCGAGCGCAACTACCCGGTCCACGACAAGGAGATGCTGGCCATCGTCCACGCGTTTCGAACCTGGCGCTGCTACTTAACGGGAGCCGACGTGACGATACGAACTGACCACAAGTCACTACAGTACATACGAAGCCAACCGACACTCAACCCGCGACAAATCAGGTGGCTGGACTACCTGGAATCCAACTTCACCTACACCATCACGTACAAGAAAGGCGCCAACAACATCGCCGACGCCCTGACCCGCCCATCAATGCAAACAGCAGCAGTACTTATCGCCCATTCCAACCCGCTATTATTGGGACTATTCACCCACGGCTACACGACCGACCGCTTCTTTAAGCAAAACCTACACCACCAGGCCACGACGCAGTATGGGAGTTATTACCTAAAGGCCGGTACGAACAGGGTTTGGGTCCCATCATACCGACCCTTAAGAGAGTTGCTGACGCAGGAGGTTCATGACCCTAACCTCTCCGGGCATTTCGGCATCGACAAAACACTGAAGCTGCTGCAGCGGAATTATTACTGGCCCGATATGATATCGGACGTGCAGCGCTACGTGACAACCTACCCGACCTGCCAAGCCATGAAGTCGTCCCGACAAAAACCAGCTGGACTGTTGCAACCCCTCGAGCCACCCGGACGACCGTGGCAACAAGTGACGATGGATTTCGTCACGGGGCTGCCAGCTGGCGCAAGCGGCAACGACTCGGTTTTGGTCGTCGTCGACCGACTAACGAAAATGGCACATTTCGCACCATGCCGCACGACGATCACAGCCGAAGAAACTGCGAAGCTGTTCATCTCAACCGTCGTACGCCTACACGGGTTACCTTCGGCGATCATCAGCGATCGAGATCCAAAATTCACGTCGAAGTTCTGGCAGGAGACGTGGGCACAGTACGGCACACGCCTGCAGTTTTCGTCGTCTTACCACCCGCAAACCGACGGTCAGACAGAGAGAACCAATCAGACCATGGAGCAGCTGATACGGACCAACTGCCCCGACATGGCCAAATGGGAAGACTCACTTCCCATGCTGGAGTTCGCGTTTAACAACGCACCCTCCGCCACGACCAACCAATCGCCATTTTTCCTAAATTAAGGGATGGACCCCGTGGTACCCTCATCAACGACCCCTGACAACCCGGTCCCTCGGTCCCAGCAATTCGTCACGGAACTACAGGCAGCCCGTGAAAAAGCAGCAGAGTTTATCCGAAAAGCAAATACGGTCGCTAGCCGTAACGCTGATAAGCATCGAAGGGATTTACCCTTCATCGACGGGCAGATAGTCCTTCTGGACACTAAGAACCTTCGACTGCCCCAACCAGCAAAACTTCGTCCCCGTTACGTGGGCCCGTTTCGCATTCTCAAGATGCTGACACCTGTCACGGCGAAACTACTGCTGCCGGATGATTGGAAAATTCATGACGCATTCCACGTCAGCCTGCTACGACATTTCGCACCACGATCATCCGATATCGCCCGACCCAGTATCGCCCCAAGTGTCCGCCCAGTGGCAGACCCGACACTCGAGCCATGGAAGATCCTCAACCACCGAGTCAATCTGACGGCCACAGGACGCCACGTCGTCTTCCTGCTTCGCTGGAAGGACCGCACGAGCGACGATTACACATATGTTGCCGCAGACTCGCTACAAGGACACCCGATTCTGCAGGAGTATTTGACTCGCCGGCGTGCCCCGGATATACACCACCTTTCTTAAAAGGGGGGGTAGTGTAAGGATTTTTCCCAATTCCTTACTGAGTCACACTGTACGCGTACAGCCCCAACTTTCGGAGTTCCAGGCTCGGTCCGCTGACCTCGCCCGCCGAACCATCAACGCGTCGCCTTCGGGTCTTCCCAACCCCGAACCTGCTCCGGACCTTTCGCGGTCCCGCAACCTCGGCCTAGCTAGTTCTCGCTATATAAGTGCTAGGCTTCATTATTCAGTCAGTAGTTGTTATCACTTCCGCGTTATTGAATCCTGCGCACTCTTCTTCATTACAACTCATAACAGCAACTGTGCTCAGCGAATCTTTCTGTCGGCCTCGGTAACTTCTCAATTGCCGAGCCCAAGCCACCCCACCAGAAACCTCCAAACCCATTCGTCAAGGCTAAGACCCACGCCAAGACTGATGCACCCACGCCAAGACCCAAGCCAAGGCTGATGCACCCAGAGAATGCCGTCAAGATCTCCCCAACCAACTCGGCTCGTTCCTCCTGACGCAGCCACGGGCAACGTGAAACCAATTCGTTCGGATGTGAATTGAACGAGTACGGACAAATGGACGAGGCTTGGGGACGAGGTTCCCTTGGCTCCTGTACTGTACTGCTATAAATCAGTCTGTCCGTCAGAAAGTCAGTTACCGTCAGAACCTTATCTATTCAGGGGGGGTTGGTTGGGTTTGGTGGTGAACTGTGCAACTGTACTGGCCAAGGGTTGTACTTAGCTCGCCACGTCACCATTTTCATCTGCCATGCCATGAGCCTTGGGGCTGCCTGACTGAACGGCTAGCTCTTAGAGGCTCAAGAATGCATCTCCTAGATCAGGTTGTAAGTAGTGTGAGCTGCGATGACTGAAAGATGTCGAAGATTTCTTATATTTAGTCACTAACCTTGATGGACTAAATACTACCGATTATTTGATCTGTACACTAGCTACAGTATTCAGCTTTAGTCGCCATGATTCCTAACAGAACAGCACACCACGGTTCCCCAAGCCCTTCTTGCCGGAAACCGGCCGTCGCGAATGGCTCTCCCGTAGTTGCTACCTCAGCATCCCCGTACCGCCGACCGGCAAACCTCTCTCAAACCGACCAGCATCCTATTCTTGACGACGATGCTCCAGTAGCCACTCCAATCTCCTCCTCGAATAACCGTTTCTCCACAGCATCGGCGGAAGAGGAGCTTTATCCAGATACCCCGTCCGGCAATAGCCAGGCTCGGCGGGGTCCACGAGTAACCGCTCCGAAACCAGCTCCGAGGCGCGATGGACACGTCGCCACCGAGGATTGCGGCGGAGCACGCGGGAGGGGTCGAGGTCGAGGCGGCCCGATGCACGCCGAGCCTCGTGCCGTCGGACCTGGAGGTAGGCACGGTGCCAGACCTACGCAGCAGGCTCGGGGAATGGGGGAGGAAAGCGGCGGTCCCGATCGTCGCGTAACAGACGGGAGTCACGGTCATGGTCATAATACTTGTCATGGCACTACTGGTGCTGCTGCTACAAGCGCTAATCACTCCAGGCCGCATACTCACGCTCCGCATTCCAAGGCGCATCCCAATACACGCAGCATTAACTCTCATTCTAAAGACGGAGTGCCGATGGGAGGCGCCTCGGGTGGTCCTAAGAAGCCACTGACCGTGCAAACCAGTGTTGGGTTGGCGGAACCGTCTTCGGACTTTGACCTCCCCTCCCCCACTCCGCTCGCTGCTCCGCTCGGCGCGCCAGTTTCCGCGCCTACTGCGTCCGCGCTAGAAGCAGGAGGCGGGTCTGCGGAGATTCCGCCGCATGACCCCGGCTCGCCTACTCCGCTAGCAGCGCCTCTTGCGGCTCCGCGGAGCTCATCGGCGGGTGCTTCCGCGGGTGCGCCCGCGCAGGCGGTCGATCCTGGATCCCCGACTCCGCTTGCTGCGCCGGTTGCGCGCACGCCAACTCCAATTTCCACAGCGGCGGTAACCGAAGCTTCCCCGCATGACCCGGGGTCCCCCACTCCGCTCGCTGCGCCGGTTGCAGGCGGCGGCGGCGGCGGCGGAGTGGATGCGCCCCCGCACGACCCAGGCTCCCCCACTCCGCTGGCTGCTCCGCTGGGGGGGAAATCCGCGGCAGGCGGAGGCGGGGGGGGAAGCGGCGGATCTCCGCCGAAGGCAGCTCATGGCGCGGGGGAGGAAGGCGCGGAGGACGCGGAAAGTAGTGACTCGGACGAGGAATTTCTTTCGCAGTACAAGCAGCTAACCAAGTCAAAGTCACGAGGACGAAACGAGGGGGCTCTGCTAGTGGGAGGTAGCGGGAACAGCGGCAGTGGGAGCGGAGCAAACGGGGGAGGCTGCGGCGTAGGATCGGGAGCAGGGGGGAGTGGCGCAGGCGGAAGTGGGGGGGAAGCGAAGCCTGGACCAGGGGGATTAGGGGGAAGAAGCAGGGGCGGGCCTCCCCCAGTCCCTTCCGCGCATGGTAACAAAAGCGGGGGTGGCGGGGGGGCAGCATTGGGCGCAGGAGGGGTAGGGGGCCACTCAGCGAAAGGGGGGATGTCAGCTGCAGCAGCAGCGGCTGTAGCGGCTGCAGCAAGCAAGGGTGGCGTGCACAGCAGCCCTGTAGCAGCGGTGGGGAAAGCAGCGATGCTGATAGAAGAAGCTGTGAAGCCGCCATTACTGAGGAGCAGATCAGGAGACACGGCCCGAGCCCACCCCGCTGCTGCTGGCGCTGGCGCTGGCGCTGGCGCTTGTGCCTCCACTCTCTCTGGGTTAGGACTAGGTCCGGGGACTGGTGGAGGTCCGGGTGGTGGAGGCTCGGGTGGTGGATTGGGTGGAGGCTTGGGGGGCATGGGTTGCCACTCTCTCTCCAGTCGGCAAGCAGAGATGCTTCACAACGCTCTAAGAGCGCCTGCTAGGTGCCACTCGGATAAGGGCATGCACGGGTTGGGAGGGGGGAGGGACGCGAGCGGGGGCAGCCCCCCGCTGCCTGTGGGGAAACGGGGACTGGAGGAGGGGAGGAGAGGGGGGAGCTGCAAGGAGGGGGCCGCGGTAGGGGGAGGAGAGGGCATTGGGGTTGATGCGGATTTGTTTGGATCAACGGGGGGGAAGAGCGGGGCCGTGGACGAGGATTTGTTTGGGGCGGATAATGGTGATTCTGATGATGATGATGATGATGATGATGATGATGATGACGATGATGACGCTGCTGTTGCTGCTGCTGCTCCTGCTGGTGCTGGTGTTGGTAGTGGTGGGGTTAGTGTTGCTGCAGCAGGTGGCGCAGCAGTGGATGAAGATTTATTTGGCCCCTCCGAGAATGTTTCTAGTGCTCATATGGAACCCCCCAAGCGGCTTGGTAGAACCTTCAGTGGTTGTGGCTCTTCTGCTACCGCTGCTGCTGCTGGTGCTGGTGCAGGTGCTGGTGGTAGTGGTGTTTCTCCTGGTGGTGTGGCAATAGCAGCGGTGGCACACCTAAAAGCACAAGAGCACAAGTTATCCAGAACAAGAAGCGTGGAGAGTTATTCAAGACAATCAGGCGGAGGAGGGGGGGCGACAGGGAGGGGGGGTGTGGGGCATAGCAGATTCGACGGTGGAGGGGCAGCAGGGGGGGCAGTGAAGGCAGCTGTGGTTGGGGGTCAGAAACTGGTTTCATCAGCAGCAGCGGCGGTTCCTGTGGCAATAGCAGCGGGGGTGTCAACGGTGACAGCGCTAGTGGTAGAAGATGGTGATTCTGATGATGATGATGAGGAGGAGGAGGAGGAGGAGGACGATGAGGGGGTAGGGGTGGGGGCTGGAGTGGGGATACAGGAAGAAGATTTGTTTGGTGCAAGCGAAGGGAGAAATCAGTTGGTGGACGGTTCAGGAGCTGGTGTGAGGAGTGATAAAGGAAGAGGGGTGGTGGGTATGGGAAGGGGAAGGGATGAGGTTGCGGAAGAGAGCGCCATGTCAGATGATGACGATGACGATTTGCAGGAGATTTTGCAGGCTATGCATAGGAGGGCCTCTTGAGTGGATCCAATAATTAAAGCCGTGAGCTACTATATATACCGTATCTGTTGTTCACCCAGGTCCTCACAATTCGTTCAACCAGTTCTTTGTTTTTCATTCAAAAGTGTATGGAATTCTGCAGTGCTGATTTCCATGACTGTAGCGAATCAATTTACCTCACGTCCTTGCATCACCTCTTGCGTGGGGCTTTGCGCCAAAACCGCCCAGCCCGTCATTGTGCGACACCTCTCCGTGCGACTCACCCCGTGCTGCGACACCTCTCTGTCAGTCTGCGACGCCTTGTGCTCTCATCGTCCCCAACCAACTCACAGAAATGCTCTGTCGCACGTACCCCCTCGTGAGTTGACCAGCTTGGTTTTGTCGCACACAGCCCCAGCCGCAAGCCATTTCTGAAACGCGAACAGCGGTGACGTTTTTTCAGCTCCGCTTGATATTGTGTTCCTCTTTTTTCTCACCAGACGTGTCTGGTTTGACGGCTAGATTCATCGAATGGAAGGAAGTTCACTGCACGCTGTTGTGACAGTAACGAGTCAAGTCTGACAACACAACCCTGATCAACCCGCCGCCACCGCCGGAGCGAGCCCGTAGTAGTCACAGTCACGCCGATCTAGTCCGGGCAAGTCTCAGAACCGGCAGTCACGCGCTCTCCCTTAATGACTTACGAGGCCATACTCCCGTCCCGCGTCGCCGTGCATCATCAATCCTCCGCGCGCGTATCGCTGCAGCCGCACCACACGTCGGGCGGAAGGAACCGCGCGCAGGCGCAAACATGCCGCGTGGACGGGCACGCAGAGATGGTTTCGTGCGGAGAGAATAGCGTTGACGGCGCGTGGAACAATAGGCGACGCGTGGTCGTGGCTTCTAGAAACCCCGTGAAGATTAACGCCGCGGGGGAGGCGCTCCGGCGGTTGTTCCCCCACGAGTCGTTCGAATTAGAAGGCTTCCCGGCCGACTCGGGCGTGTCGGACCAGCCGATGGGCGACGCGGAGACTCTCGCGGGCGCGCGGAACCGTCTGCTGCACGTGGCGCGCAGCAGCGCGGCGGAAGGCGCGGATTTCGTGGTTGCGATCGAGGGGGGAGTGGAGTGGTGCCGGTTCTCCGATCCCCCCCAGCTCATGTGCTTCGCATGGGCTGTCGTACTCTCCACGTCCGCGCGCGCGGACGACGAGGCGGAAGCGGACGGCGCGGTGGTGGGCGGAAGCGGGGAGGGTGGGGGCGCGGCTCCCGGGGCGGGGAACGGGAGACAGCAGCAGGGGAGGGGAGTGGGGGAGGCGACAGGGGGCGTGGCCGGGGATGGGGGAGCGGGGAGGAGAGGAGGAGCGGCGCTTGGGGGAGTGAATGGGGGGAGAGGGGGCGGGGGAGGCTTAGGGGGAGGCGGAGGGAACGCGATTTCGGGGGAGACGAGAGCGCGGACGGCCGCGTTCATGCTTCCGCCACCACTGGCGGAACTGGTGCAAGGTGCGGGGGGGGAGGGGTGTGGGGAGGGGGGAGGGGTGGGAGAAGAACGGGGGGGACGAGGGGACGGGGGGGCAAGGGAAGGGAAAAGAGTGACTGGGACGGTGGAGTGAGGAGGGGAAGAAGGTGGGAAGGGAGAGGATGGGGTTAAAAGGTTTAGAGGAAGGGGGGGATATGGAAAGTATGGTAGGAGTGGGAGGGTGGGGGGAAAGTATGGAAGGGGGATTGCATGGTGGGGAAGTGTGCCACATGGAAAGGGTGTGTGCCATGTGGGAAGGGCGTGTGCCATGTGGGAAGGGCGTGTGCCATGTGGGAAGGGTGTGTGCCATGTGGGAAGGGCGTGTGCCATGTGGGAAGGGCGTGTGCCATGTGGGAAGGGCGTGTGCCATGTGGGAAGGGTGTGTGCCATGTGGGAAGGGCGTGTGCCATGTGGGAAGGGCGTGTGCCATGTGGGAAGGGCGTGTGCTATGTGGGAAGGGCGTGTGCCATGTGGGAAGGGCGTGTGCCATGTGGGAAGGGCGTGTGCCACGTGGGAAGGGTGTGTGCCACGTGGAAAGGGTCTGTGCTAAACCATACCTGCTCCCCTGCATCATGTTTCAGGGGGCATGGAGCTGGGGGAAGCAACAGACGAGGTGTTTTGTCAAGAGGGTAGCAAATCCCGAGGCGGCACAGTGGGATATCTGACCAATGGGGAGATTACACGTCAGACGTACTACGAGCATGCTATCACCCTAGCACTCATCCCATTCGTCCACCCGTCGCTGTATAAAAGCCCGTCGCACCCGGTGCTGCCGCCAAATTACATGCAATGACAGGGTAGGAGATTAGGAGATTAGGGTTAGGGCACGGGCTCGCATACAATTTTGATGTTACCATGATTTGAAGCTTCTGAAATTGTCATGAATCGGAAGGGAGGTGACAGCTATTGGCTTTTGTCTGACATTTTGACTTGAAAACCTTCCTGCTTACCGTACTACCTCTAGGTTGTAGCAAGACCTGGTGAATGAGACTTCCTGATAGCGAATCTGCAAAATTGCAGGAGTTGCACAAGCTCACTGCACTGCTTGAAATAACCATGACCAGAAATTTCTCCCTTAAATTTCTACTTCGCTGCCCTACCAAGCCAAACCCCCTGACTGAAGATTTCTGGTTTTGTTTCGTGTACTTTTATCAACCACGAATGCTCTCGAAGTCGCATTTCCGTCAAAATCTTAAGAGTTAAAACAACTGAACCGAAACTCTATTAAATAGTATAATGAAGTCTACATACATTTCATGTTCAGGAAATTCTAGATCTACAGTAAAGTCTTCAATCTTGGACCTTGGAACTTCAATCTTGGTTTGGGCCGCTAGAGGACAAGCCTCTAGCGTTTACCCTAACACCACGATGAGGTGGAGGTCCTTCGTTAGGGAAACCTGCAAGGGAGGGGAGGGATGCTTGGGAAGAAAAAACAGTAAAACAAAGAGGAGGGACGGTTAGGATTAAAGTGAATGCCAGGGGAGGGAACACCTCTGAGCTTGAAGTAGCTGCTCTGTTGTCAGGTTGTCAGGTTGCCGCGGTGAGCCACAGAAAGTGGAGGGAGAAAAGAGGAGGAGGAAACCCAACCGACCCCGTCGCGTCGCGTCCCCATCGCCTAACCACCCAGCCCACACCGCCCTCGTCTGTCCAGTCTGTGGCTGATCTAAAACGCTCCTACGTGTCGGAATAGCAGGCACAAGCTAGAAACAGGAAAGAGTGGTTTTCACTAGCAGCAGTTGAGATACATATAGGAAACCCTAATTGGGTTGTACTCGCTATAGAGTACCCCACTGCAGGCTAGACAAACATCGACATTCTGACACACCCCCATAGTCAAAGTGGGGTACATCAACACAACAAGCAGACAGTGCAATAGTTCATAAGGATAAGCAAAGCTAGAGGCTATCACAGAGGGCAAGTGAGGAGGAGGAGAAACTATGGAGGACGAGAAGATGAGAGGCGACGACTGAAGCTGCAGACACACGGGCAACAGGAGTGCGCAGCACTGACGCTACCAGGCTAAACCCGGGCTACACGGCGACAGGCGCAGCTGGCTCACTGTGCTCCCAGGAGTGCTCACACTGTGGCTACCGGGCGCAGAGCCCCGGACTACACGGCCACAGGGGGTCGTGGCTCTCTGGACTACCAGGAGTGCTCACACTGTGGCTACCGGGCGCAGAGCCCCGGACTACACGGCCACAGGGGGTCGTGGCTCTCTGGACTTCAGGCGCTGCGGACGACAAGTCGGCTACCTCCGGTCAACCTCCCCCAACTGTCCCACACCCCTTTCACACACCCCCTGCTGAACCACTAGCACCGCTCACACGCCACCCCCCTCGTACCACTCCGACGGCTCCAACACATCCACCCCCCTCAGCGGCAGCTGCAGCAGTGGGAGACGGAGGAGGAGGAGCAGGGGACGGCTCACACACACGGCACCCCCATACTCTCCACCCCCAAACCCTAACACAGGAGTGCGGTCAGAAGCTCGGGGGACGGCGTGCGGCATTGGGGCAGACGGTACGGGCCGCTCACGGGCCTGGCGCAGGCCGGACGAACCGCGCGCGGGCCTGACGCAGGCCGTACGGGCCGCGCGCGGGCTATACGGGCCGCGCGCGGGCCTGGCGCAGCCCGTACGAGCCGCGCGCGGGCCTGGCGCAGGCCGTACGGGCCACGCGCGGGCCTGGCGCAGGCCGTACGGGCTGCGCGCGGGCTGTACGGGCCGCGCGCGGGCCTTGCGCAGGTCGCGCGGGCCGCTACGGGCGACGGGGGGCGACGCGCGGGTCCCCGGGGGCGCTGCGACGGGCGACGGGGGGCGACGCGCGGATCGACGGGGCAGAAAACCGCCGCGCGCCTCGGGGCGCACGGCGGGCAGAAAACCGCCGCGCGCCCCGAGCGCGCGGCGCGATGAAAAATACGCCGTGCACCCGAGCGCGCGGCAAGCAGAACACGTCGCGCGCCCGGGGCGCGCGATAGGCAGGACAGCAGCGGAAGCATTAGGTGGCGGGCCCATCCACAGGATCGACCCAGGAGGGTCGACCTGCTCTGATAGCATGTCGGAATAGCAGGCACAAGCTAGAAACAGGAAAGAGTGGTTTTCACTAGCAGCAGTTGAGATACATATAGGAAACCCTAATTGGGTTTTACTCGCTATAGAGTACCCCACTGCAGGCTAGACAAACATCGACATTCTGACACTACGGTCTGATCTAACGCTCCTAAACGGCCCACCGGTTACCATGTGCTGCTGTTGCAATAGTTGCTCCACCTCCTGAGAAAGGGAAGGAGTGGAAGGGGGGGGTCAAGCTCCTCGCTGCTACTCGATCCTCGCTGCTCCTCGATCCTCGCTGCTCCTTGCTTCTCATTGTTGGTCCTCGTTCTATCCTCGCGTTGCGCTGCTCCTTAGCTCCCCACTTCGTGCACCACAGAGAACGACTTAAAAAGACGTTAGTACTTTAGAAAAAAAAAAGAAACGAACAAGCTGAACGATAATAAAGCTGGAAAAAAAACTGAAAGAACCGATGACGAAGAAGAGAAATAAAACCGTGCGCCGTGCGTCGTGCGATGGGAGAAGCGCCGTCCGACGGCAGAGATTCCGCCACCATGCGCCACGCGAGAAGGACCACCATTCCGTCGCGAAGATCGCGCCGTGAAGTTGTGCTCCTCGCTCCACCCGCTTCGCACACCACCAGCGCGACTCCTCCTGGACTCCTCCTGCTGAACGCACCATTAATAAACGAAGTAAGTAAGTGATATCGATAAGAATAAGAATAAGAAACGAAGAAGCGGAATAATAATAAAGCTGAAAAAAAACTGAAAGAAACGATGACGAAGAAGAGAAATGAAGCCGTGCGCCGTGCGTCGTGCGATGGGAGAAGCGCCGTCCGACGGCAGAGATTCCGCCACCATGCGCCACGCGAGAAGGACCACCATTCCGCCTCGAAGATCGTGCCGTGAAGTTGTGCTCCTCGCTCCACCCGCTTCGCATACCACCAGCACGACTCCTCCTGGACTCCTCCTGCTGAACGCACCGAGAATAAACGAAGTAAGTAAGTGTTCTCGAGAAGGATAAGATTAATAAACGAACAAGCTGAACAATAATAAAGCTGAAAAAATTTGAAAGAACCGATGACGAAGAAGAGAAATAAAACCCTGCGCCGTGCGTCGTGCGATGGGAGAAGCGCAGTCCGACGGCAGAGGTTCCGCCACCATGCGCCACGCGAGAAGGAGCACCATTCCGCCGCGAAGATCGCGCCGTGAAGTTGTGCTCCGCGTTCCACCCGCTTCGCATACCACTAGCAGGAATCCTCCTGGACTCCTCCTGCTGAACGCACCGAGAATAAACGAAGTAAGTAAGTGATCTCGAGAAGGATAAGAATAGGAAACAAACAAGCTGAACAATAATAATGCTGAAAAAAAAACTGAAAGAACCGATAACGAAGAAGAGAAATGAAGCCGTGCGCCGTGCGATGGGAGAAGCGCCGTCCGACGGCAGAGATTCCGCCACCATGCGCCACGCGAGAAGGACCACCATTCCGCCTCGAACATCGCGCTGTGAAGTTGTCGCCTGAAGATTTCGCCCGGCCGTGGAGATCAGTTTCGAGAGACTCGCCGTGGAACAGGAATCTTCCTCAGGCAACAAGCGTAGTAAAGGTTCAACCCAAGCAGCAGGCAGCTCGCTCACTCACGACTCTCTACCCAACCCGTCCCACCCGACTTCTATAGCTCAACGCTGCCGCGTGCCATTGGGTTTTCGCCAGTACTAGCCGGAAGCCTTTCGGAAAGATTAGCTTGCTCGGTGAACAAAATTGGGTTATAAGGTGTGATGTAAGGGATGTGTGGGAACGATCGAGCTGGTAGGAGAAGCGGTAGCGCGCTGCTGAATCATGAGTAGAAGCGTGCTCCGGCTAATCCATGGTCGTTCTTCCGACTCGACCTTTCCCAGACAAAATTCGTTTTGGTTGGGTTGGATGGCGGCCGCTGCGCGCGATGCAGAGCGCTTCAAACCAATTGCGATTGGTGTCAGGAAGTATTGAGGTGTGGCTCTTGTGAAAAGTTTACCCAGTTTGGCTCCATTTGCTGGGTGCAGTGCGGTGCGACGCAATGCTGTGCTGTAATTTTGGCGGCCATAGCGCGGATTTCTGTAAGAATCGTATGAACAGTTGGATGGTGGTGCAGTATCTCCTTGAACGGTGACGATTTGCTTGGCATGGTATGGATGCGGCATCATGGCATGGCATGGTGATGGTGTGTGTAATCATGGGCCAACGAATTTCCCCGCCCATGACGGCAGAGACCAGCATGCCCCAGGAGGGAAATTCGAGTGGCAGACAGTTTACGGCGGCCCAATTGGTGTACGCTGTACGAGCGGATCCAATACGTACACAGGTTTACAGTGCTTGATTGGATTTGAAACACACGCACAATTGTTGTCAAGTTGGAGTGTGCACCTTTCATTCATAGGCTTGTTAACCTTTGCTGTTTGGTCTGGTTTCGTTTCGTTTGGTCTGTTGCAATCGAAACTGTCGATGGCGCGTATTGCTGTTGTAG